CTGGGAGGCCGAGGTGGGTGGATCGCTCAAGGTCAGGAGTTTGAAACCAGCCTGAGCAAGAGCGAGACCCCGTCTCTACTAAAAAATACTAAGAAATTAATTGGCCAACTAAAAATATATAGAAAAAATTAGCTGGGCATGGTGGCGCATGCCTGTAGTCCCAGCTATTTGGGAGGCTGAGGCAGAAGGATTACTTGAGCCCAGGAGTTTGATGTTGCTGTGAGCTGGGCTGACGCCACGGCACTCTAGCCAGGGCAACAGAGTGAGACTCTGTCTCAAAAAATAAAAATAAAATAAAATAAAATAAAATAAAACATGACCAACATAAAACAAGTGACAGTTAGGTGAGAAATTGTGTGACTCAGACCCAGGACTATACCAATTCATGAGAAGATCTATGAGGGTGAAAATAAATGGGAAGTGCTTCCTGTTGGAGGAGTACTTCATGTTGGAGAGGTAGGATCTGAAGGTAGAGTAAGATTTAGTGAAATTCAGAAGAGGGGGAGGGCATTCATTCAATAAATATTTAATATCACCTCTTGCATACCCGGTATTGGAGAATATTACGGAAAAAAACAACAAAGTTTCTGCCCTCATAGGGATGGCACTGAGCAGAGTATATAGGACAGATAAAGTACAGATTATGTATTGGAAAACCCTAAAAATGGGACAAAGAAGTGGAATGGAGGTAGGCTAGACAGAGAGACCTTAGATATTATCTAGTTCAGTGGTTAAAAATCAGTTGAGGAAGCTTTTTTCAAAGTGTCCCAGGCTTCACATTGGGGATTATGCCTGAGTACATACATCTGCGGTAGGGTCTAGCTATGCACAATTTCTTTAAAAAGCTCCTCAGATGACTGTAATGGTCATCCAGGTTTAGGGAACACTCCTCTAGAAGAGCCCTATTTTACAGAAAAAAGAATAGGTTTAGAGAGGTTAAGGAATGCAGTCAACATAAACATATTACGTGAGGTAAGCAATGGAAGCTACTATGGAATCCTGAAAGGAAGAGTGTGTGGAGCTCAGTGGGAGGAAGGAGGATGATGAAGAGATGTTTAAAGAGAACAGATTGGGGAGAAAGGAAGAGGTGTGAAGCAAAGGGCTAACTAGAAGGTTGTGACAATAATCCAGGATTGATTGAGGCATTGCCCTGACAGGAGAGGAAAACAAGTAGTTCTTTTAAAGCCTCATTTAGTACTCCTTGTTTTTTATCATATCATCTGATCTGGTGGAGGGGGGAGGTTTGAAATTTTGTTTTGTTGTTGTCTATTTTTCATAATCTGAATCTACAAGAAACTATCTCCTACAACTAATTTCCAGGAATTAGTTGTTGTGAAACTCTGTAGCACCGATCATACCATCCTGCAGCTATAATGCACTAAAGGATTGCTACCCAAAGTGGGAAATGGGGTTCTCCAACCAGCGGCACAAGTATCATCTGGAAACCTGTTAGAAAAGCAGAGTCCAGGCGTCCACCCCAGATGTACAGAACCAGAATCTGCATTTTAATAAGATCCCCAAATCCTCCATATGTGCATGAAAGTTTGAGAAGCACTGCTCTAAAGGGCTTTTGGAATTCTTTAGAATGAGGGTAACAACATTAAAATAGAAAATAGATAAAGGTTAATCAATGAGTTATTTTGTAATTTTAATATATGGTTAAGGTATTTTTCATGGCCACTCTCCCAGGGATGAAATGCTATAATATATCTTTAATTTACATTCCCTCTATGTTCTAGTAGAAAGCCAGAGCCACATAGGTATCAGAATTAATACTAGAAAAACAATCTGAGAACTATCTTTCTATTTGGCTTTCCCTAGTCATGCACCTAATAAATGTTTGGATAGCCTGTAAATATCTGAATTTACTTAATAAAAGATGTCATGACTAGAGTCAATAATAACCAAGGTAGTTACCGTTTATTGGACACTTAGAATGTATATACTGAGCACTGTGCCAAATGCCTTACAAATACTTTAAACTTGAATTCTCACAATTATTCTATAAAGTAGGCATTTCTAAAAATCTCTTTTACAGATGATAACAAGACTTAGGAAAGGCAAGCAACTTGTCCTAAGTTTCTAACAATTAGAAAATGACCAAAAAAATTCTAATACTGTATTATTGTTTTGAAATCTAAAAAGTATGATAAATTAAAAATTAAGGCTTTGGAATCATATCAGGCATTATCAAAATATTTATAAAGAGAAAATTTAGAGTGCTTACATAGAATATCTTTCCATGAAAATTCATAACATGGAACAACAACAAAAAAGGATTCTAAATTCCAGATTCCTAAATATTGTTTTCCCCATTTACTAATAGCTTCACTCATAATCTACATTCACATTTTCCACAATTCCATCTATAAACATTTCAAAGTTAATAAAATTAGAAAAATCTAATATTCTGCAAATACTGGTAGCTTAGTATTTACAGTAGATATACTGCCTTTTACAAAAGTTATTTTTGTGAAAGATGCAGAAAAAATACTACTTAAGGCAGAAGTGAGACATACATAAAAAGATGAGCAAAATAACCTGCACATTTTACCTGCTGCCTTAAGTAAATATTCAAGCCTATTTCTTCAATCATATAAACTCAGATTAGGGTAACTGAAATGCTTCGAGTTTAGGTTTGTAATAAAGAAAATGATGCAAAACAGCCGCCAAAAGCACAGATAGCCAAAGCATCATATCTGTATTAAGAAATCTCCAGCTGCCTCTTAGAAACATCTCTGAAGAGATAAAGTGAGCAGACCAAAATCTGGATTCAAGCAAGTATTATATCGGGAGATCTAGTCTCACTTTCACATTCTGAAAGGCAGTAGGAATGTTAAGAATTTCAGAGCACCCCTTAGCTTTAAGATCCAAGTAATTTTAGGAGTGCTACCTCCCTGGATAAAAGATGATGATGATGTTGATAACTGCATATTTTCAATACATAGAGCACTGTGTAAGTTCTCTATATACATTATTTCATTTAGTCTTTATAATGCCATGAGTACTACCATCTCTATTTGAGAGAAAAGTTATGATAGTTGCATTTGGTGACATAGATGGTAAGTGATGGAGCTGGCTTACAGAATTGAAGCCACACTCTCACTTTTAGCCACTAGTATATACTATCTCTAAAACACAGGTAGAGGATAAGCTTGCACATGTGGAATGGATTGAAAGGATTGGAAACATTAAGAATTCCAAAGCTCTTTCTTCCACAGGCCTGAGGCAGAGGTCTAAAACGTTAAATTTATCATTCTAGGAACTCAGTTAACTTCTCCTGGCTTTAGGGTTCTCATTTGTAAAAGCAACCACAAACAAACTAGGCTGAGTGATCTCTAAACCAGCTCTAAAAAGTGCCTATTCTATATCATTTCTTGGGTAGAAACTGCCTTTTCCTATAGTACTTCAAAAATATTACTACTCCTAGAAGTAGTTATTAACAAAGCAAAAACATGAATTAATGCATATTGAGAGATTTCTTCCTGGAAGAGAATCCTAGGCCCTGGAAGGAGTGGTAGTAATGAAAAATAAGGGAGAAAATACACACATACTTGTTTAGTTTTACTTGGTACATTATGGCCTATTTTAGCAATGGCTTGTTAAAAGTAGTTCTTTTTTCGTTTTAACCCATGTTTGCCTGACTTACATAACGTTGCCCAATTTTTCTTACACCAAGTAAAGAACGAGAGCCATCAGTTACCAAATTCACCTACTTGTCAGTTCTGTCCCGTGCCTGGGAGTACAGTGGTAGCGCTGCTCTCCTATACAGCCTTGGGAGTGGAGAGCTATTGTCCCCCAAAGTTCTTTTCCCTACCCACATTGGAAATAACCTCCACAAAACCAATTAGGTAAATTCCCCTAACACCGGCTCCTCCTCATGCAAAAGTGCTTTTCCTCTGCAGGTTACTATGTAAATGTCTGACCTTCCTCAGAGAGCTCAGCCCTATTTCCTTGGGAGAAGAGGTCCCCAGTTAACTGGCCTCCACTCCCCAAGAACTCTCCAAGGCTCCAGGCTGTGGACGCAAGAGACAGGGTTCCTGACGCAGCCTGAGACTTGCCAAGCCTCAACTCAAATTCCCACAATGGTGCCACGCCATTAGTGTGAGGCAGGGCAGGATTCCTCCATAGAATTCATGGCATTTAAGGCATGATCATGGCTCTCTGGGGGAGCAGTGGAAGCCTTGTATGAAATAAACGACCTCCAAACGGAGGTGTTTGGAGGTTTCCAAACACCTCCGCCACGAATGGAGATCCAAGCTAGCGTCACGGCTGAAATTTCTCAACAGACCAACTTGAAGTACTCATTTTCTACTCATAACAAAAGCAAACCCAAAACAAATTCAGTACCAGCACAATAAAACAAATGAATTCTATTCTCTCCCAATTCTCTCCGACCCAGCCTATAACCACCAGCTTCCAGTTGCATATTTAAAAAGATGCTTAATTTCTAGTTTTAATAGCATATTCCTCCTCCTCCAGGCTTTAGTAGCAGCAAAATTTAATTCCTAGGAACTCAATTAACTTCTCAAGGCTTTAGGATTCTCTCATTTGTAAAAGCAACCAATAGGAGAATTTACCCCTATATCAAGAACATCATTTGATAACAGGGACCTAAGTATAAAAGCCCAGTGCAAAGTCATCTGGTCATCAAATCAAATTTGGCTAAGAATGATTTCTTTCCTCCCAGTCCTTTCGTGACCACACTTTCCAAAGCAGCACGGGCAAAGCCCCGCCTGCTCCGGTTAGTGGAAATGCTCCAGGAGGACCATGCTGCCCCAGTCCCCAGACAGGCTGGCTGACGACAGCCAGTCCCCCTCGCAGGCGGCACAGTTCTCAGGGGAGGAGGTCAGCTCTGCGCTTGGAACTTCTGTCCCGAGAGTTCCCCCCATCTCCACTCCGGCCCCCAATTCCGCCCTCGCCACCTCCAGGCTTAGTCCCCTCCCCCAGATCTCACGCCCGCCCCCTCCATCTCCGAAAGCGCAGACAACTGGTCATACCTGCGCCTCCTCGTTCTCAGTCACCACCCCAACCACCGGGATTTGACGGGGAGTGTTGGACTTCTTCCTGCTGCCGGGTTCCTGGGTCTCGGCCGTAGCCACTGCCTGCGCCGTGGACATGGCTGGCGGCAGCGGTGAGGAGAGTGTGTGTGTGTGGGAAATCCTCCTGCCCTGCGGTTTGTCGGCAGCCGCTGGGTCCAAAGAGGCCCTGTTACCGGGAAGTTAAGGCAGCCTGAGAGCCGCTAGAGTCGCGAAAGGCCCCAAACGTCCTGTAGTGGCCTGGGCCACCGCCACACCACCCGCATTTCGCCGAGGCCGCCCACCCTCAGGCCTGGGCGCAGCCACTCCGCTAGTTGTCAACACAAGCCTGTGCGTTGCTAGGGGGCGGAGCCAGAGGCGGAGCAGGTGGTGGCTCCTACGGAAACCCGGAGAGCCAAACTACCCGAAAGTCCAATCTATCCCCCGCGCTCGGGATGTGTGAGTTTGCCAGTGAGCAAGACCTAGGCTGGAGGGAGTTCCCCGTACTAAGCGGGGAGTGGCACGTTAGGCGCCCAGTGTGTTTTAGTCTTGGTAGCCTTGCTTAAAACAGGCATGAGTGGGTGGAGGGCTGAGGGGTGTACGTGGGATGCAGGGTGATGTGATGGACGGATAGTGTTGAAGCAGAGTTTACTTCTCCCCAGAGAAATGACCAGTCTCCTAAATTCCCCACCCTTTAACCACGTTTGTATTTTAGTGGCCCAATCGATAAACAAATAAAAAAGGCATTGTACATAATGTTAAAAGGCGTTTGAGTCAAATTATTGAAACTAGAGCAAGTTAACCCTTGGACTCCCCACTTTTCTCATCTATAAAATAGGATTGTTGCTGGGATTGAATGAGATGATAGTGTTTAAGTGGCGCTTGGCACATAATAAGCACCCAGTATAATCAAGATTATCATTTATCTTTACTATTACTGTTGTTATCTATACATTTGTATCTTGAATAATAATACAGGAAGGGTCATGACTTTAGTGGAAAGCGTCTCATGATGATCATCAATATAATTTAATAACTCCAAACACCAAGGCTGCGAACATTTTTTTTTAAATCCTTTAACCTTTTTAATCTGTTTTTGTTAACATCCAGAAACTCTTCAAGATTTAAATGTACATTTTTATATTTTCTATAGAATTTATAGATTTAAAATTATGCATAAACTAAAAAAATAAAATTATACATAAACTGAATGAAAAAAAATTTCACTTCACATCTCAGGGCTTCTCTCCTCATTTGTAGAATGACCAGGTTGGTTGTTCAATGATTTCTAAAGTTCCTTCAACCTTGACCACTGAATGACATTTTAGGCCCCGAAATAGAAATGTAAAAACTAGATTGGGCCTGGCTGCACCTGAGCCAAAGAGATCAAGGGTTCTTTGAGAGAATACTTATTTCAATTTTCCACATCCTCAGCCTTCTGAAACTGCTCTGAGGTCACCAATGCTTGTGGGCAAAGTCTGAACACTTTTCTGTACTTACCCTGCTGTACATTCTGGTATTTCACATTGCTGACCACTCTCCCCTTCTTGAAACTTTCTTGTCTAGGCCTCCACATTCTTTTTCTTTTATTGTTACAGCTACTCATAGATATCTTTGTGGACCCAGCACACCTCTGCTACCTACCTACTCCCAGGTATCTATAAAGGTACTCTCAGGCCTTACATCTGGAGGCCAGTTCAGTTAGGTCTAAGGTTGTTATCACCCAGGGAGAGTACAAAGGGTTTAAGCATTTTATTCACATGACCTTAATTGCTGTTGCACAGTCTGAGTATACCACATTGGAAGGAGACTGATAATACTTTAATAAACACAATGGAATACTGTGGATATGGCACCCAAAACCAAGATGGTGGTAGAGACATTTGGATCATTTGTTTATCCTTTGTGTGGTCATCTGGCATCTGAGAATGAGGAAAGATGAAGAGAGGGAGATTGCAAAGGAAAATTTTCTACTTAAAGCAGAGCTTGCCTAAGAGGTATCAACTGACTCTTGTGTTTCAACGCAGCAGGCTGAAACTGGTAAGGGCCCATAAACTTCAGTGACCTTGGTAAGTCAGACTCCTCGCTGGACCTAATTGAAGACACTTTCCTCACTAATGAACAATGGGATATTTTATTTTAAGATCTATATATTCTTTCTGTCCTATATCTAGAGTACCAGTTTCCAATGCTTAATTAGCATAAATCCCATGAATTCCCCCTTTCTACCACCACTTCAAAAGCCTCTGACTTTTTCCTCCTCGCTGTAATCAATGAAATTCTTCATGGGGTAGGTCCCCTTTTTCTGGTAAGTTAATAGACCCTGCTTTGTTATTTATTTATTTTTAACCCCAATGGTATTTGTTGTAGTCATTGACAGGTGAGAAGTGACAGGGATGGAAGGCCTCAAACACTCCACACTCAGCCATCTTGAGTGAATTTCTTGCAGTTTTCCAAAGGAGCCAAGCTTTTCCCCCGAATTACTTCTGCATTGTGTTGTAAGTGCTAATGTCTTTAGATGACTAACTCCTTATGAGACTTGGCTTACATGACTTTTCTAGGAAACCTCCTTTACATCCTTTGCTGTGTTAGGTGCCACCTTGTCCATCATTTTGTTTTTGTATTCACCTCATACTTAATGGTATTTACTAGTTCAGCAACACAACCCTTTCTTCTCAGAAACACTTGTAGTCTTAAAGATTAACTAGAAGTTTTAATACTGTTGACCTACACACAATTTTTACTTTTAAAAGTAACAAAGAAAGCTAATATATTTTTTAAATAAATACAATATTACGCAAGAATGTAGTTCTGATATTTTTCCTTCTGATTTTTTCTTGTTTGCAGTCTGCCTAATAAGCAATGTTTAGTAAAATAATTATTGATAATTATATGGATAATTATATATTCATGAATTAAGAACATTTCTAATAAGTATTTTAGATTACATAAGAATTTGGTAGCCTTTAAACTAATGCCAGATGTTCTAAATGTTCAAACAAATGTTATTCCTTTTTGAGTCAGAGTAATTTATTTTAAATAGAGAATTTTATAGCACATATGAAATGTAATTATAGTTTTAGTAGGTTCACTTTAGAGGAATTTTGTAACAGAAGCATATATAAAACTGGAATGTAATATACCTCAATATTTTTAAAAACTCTTTCAGATTGACAGTATAGAAACAAATCCTAAAAACCAAATCAAAGTAATTACCTCTTTCCAACAAAATCATTAATGCAAATTTGGGAATAGTAAGTACAGAGAACAGAAAATGAAAGTAAAAGAACAGCCAACCCTGAAGTTAATCATTCTAAGGAAAAGTGTACTAACAGTAACCCAAACTGCGAGAGATTTTTAAGTAGGAAGTTGCAGGAACTGTTTATGTTTAGTGGAAAACTAAATAAATGGTAATAAATGAAATGAAGAATTTATTATGAACTACTTTGACCTGATCAAAACTTCAGTTCCATGACATAGGAATATTTCCATGAAATAAAAATGTTCCTGAGCTTTTAGAACTCACAACTGCTTATTGTGTTTATACGTGGGAGGTTATAGTGAAGTAACCCCAGGATAGAACTGTCTTTATTGTGGGGCATGATTAATCAGACAAGTTTATTCCAATGACATTAACCATTCAAGTTTTGTAACTAACTTGAATTGTTCTGATTCCATGGATCCTGTATTAGTTTTCGAGGATCGCATTAACAAATACCACAGACTGGGTGGCTTAAACAGAAATTTGTTTCCTTACAGTTCCAGAGACTAGAAGTCCAAGATTAAGGTGTTGGCAGGACTGGTTTCATTTTGAGGCCTCTCTCCATGGCTTTCCATTTTCTCCCTTTTACTTCACATGGTCACTCCTCTGTCCATGACTGTATCCTAATCTCCCCTTCTTATAAGGACACCAGTCATACTGGATTAGGGCTCAACTGTATGACCTCACTTTACCTTAGTTACCTCTTTAAAGGCCCTATTTCCAAATACAATCACATTCTGAGGTATTGGAGGGGGGGATCAGGATTTTGATGTATGAATTTTGGAGGCACACAACTCAGGTATAACAGATCCTGATATCCTTGGGATTACAATTTGAATTCTTACAAACAACAGATTCAAGAACAGAATATATTTAGTTAAGGCAATAATGGTATTCTTGCCTATAGGACATTGATATTTCTTACGGTAGTGATAAATTACTATTCTGATTTAACAATCTATCACTATACATTTGATCAAAGGGAATCTGTCCCTGAGGGATGTATCCACTCAAAAGGGTTTCAACAAATCTGGATTTTGAGCCTGCAGGCTCCTATGCTTGACTTTGTCAAAATCATCATACATTTCATGTTTCACTTTCCATTTGAAGAATCTACTGCCAAAAGTCCCATGCTAGCCTAGGTTCCCCCAGCCTGCCATAAACAAACAGCAACCAGTATTTATTCCCCTGCTGCCACTTTATTGGGGAGTGCCTCTGGGAGGCAGAAGTAAGGGAAAAAAAATGGAAGTGAGGCAGTAGAGAAGGGGACATAAATATCGGTGTTACCGAGTTGGTTATGACTTTGGAACGAGAGCAGTTAATTGCTCAATCTTTTAGGATATTTTCATGAAGGTCTTACGAATTTTTGCACTTTAGAATACCCCATCTGGGTGAAAGGAAGGGAGTCTTTATCTACTAGCTACATCTTGTGCTGCATCTCCTTGGTTAAAATTCACTCCTTAAGTAGGGTTGCTAGATTTAGCAAAAACAAAACAAAACAAAAACCCGTACTTATAAATAAAAAGTTATTTGTTGTTTGTCTCCAATGGAAATTTAACTGACAGTCTTGTATTTTACCTGGTAATCAATCCTACTATCAGGACATTAGCACCTATGCATTTCCAGGCAGCAGCTGGGGAAGCCAGAGCCTCCACAGATCCTATGCACAGGCACACAGGTGGGTTTCTCCTAGTCAGTGGTGCAGTACACAGGACTCCTCAGCATATAGCAGTGTGGTGGCAGTAGTGGCAGCAGCGGCGACGGCAGCAACTCCTCTCTAGGACTCCTCTCTACAGGGCAGCCACAGGTGACTGGCAGGGAGGCAAAGCTAGAGGTGGAGGCAGTGATGGGGAGGGCTGTGAGGAAAAGGCAGGAGGAAGTAGGCATGGCTGCATGGATGTGGGGTAATAAAAAACATAACTTCCTGTAAAAATGAGTCATGATTCATTATACTATCTCTTAGTACCTACCACAGACCATACTGTACTAGACTCTAGGGATTTAGTATGGAATAAGACAAAATTCCTGCTATCAGGGAGCTTACAGAATAGCCTGAATAGTGTTGTGTCCTGATTTAAAGATGCTTAATGAATACTAGTGAAATGAAATAATTTTAAGAATACTGACTCATTAAATGGAGGTTTTTCTAAATGATTACTTCGGTAAAAATAGACAAACAAAATCCCTCCAAAACAAGACAATCCCATGTATTGCCTTCTGGATGCTTCTTAAAAGAAATACTCTGATGAGTATTAGTTGGCCTCCATCAAACATTGGAATTAGTATTCAGTAAGAAAAAAATCCATTTGTAGACAACACTTCACAAGAGAAGTTAAAACATTAAATAGTACTTTTTATTTAAATGTTTATAAGGCAGATCTATTAGAATGATATAAAACCATGGCATTTAATAGCGGCATTTTGGAGATTACAGAGGTTAGTAAATTTTAATTACACAGTTACAAAGAAGACAATATATTCCAAGCAGATACAAAATATCTAATGAAGAATCAAGGCAAGAAAATCAGTATACTATTAATTAACAATGGCAAATCAGTTGCATATTATCCTTTAAAAGCTTTTAAGTGTAAGAATTATTGCAGTCTATTTTATTCAATCAGTGTTAAACGGTATCATGACAAAGAACTGAAGGCCACACAGGATTAGTTTTGACTTCGTCTCATTGGCCAGTACTCAGTCACTTGTATACCTAATTACAATTGCAGTTCAGGAATATGATGGGCAGAAGCTTTTAAAGAAGTAGGGTAAATAGACATTGGGAGACAACTTCCAGTCCATTCAGGCTGGATATCTGCAAGCTACCTTTAAAGAAAATCTCCAGAGAATATTTCCTTAAAGTTGACGATTTGGAGATCACACAAAAGCATCTGCTTTGTGATTTAATTTAACTCATCTAGCTACTGGGAGAATCCACACAGTATGCCTTAATTTTAGATAAATGCACGATGGAAAGTTTGCACGATTTGGAGTTAAAAAAGAAAAAAAGAAAAAAAGTTAAAAAAGAAAAAAACGAACTCAGTATATATGTGTGTTAGGCCGAACGAAACAGTTTTTAGTATCATATGAACAGAATCTCTGGAAATTAAGCACTGGAAATTAATCTCTGGAAATTAATTTCCTCACACTAAAAAAAAAAAAATCAAAGAATCTATTCATTATTGTAACATTCACTGCATAAAGGTAAGAACAGATTGTGCTTCCACTAAAATTATCCAGTTTCACTTAAAGCTAATATATATACTGAATAGATATCAGAATTTATTTTACTGACTGACGGACAATTGAGGGTGGAACATCTCATTTTCATGATGACACATCACAAATATAAATCGTAACACTGGACTGAGGTGTGTTATGTGTGTACTGCTTTAGGTCATGAATTTACAAAATAATTTCGACAACATTTTAGGTTGTTTGCTTATTTCAAAATGAGGACTTTACAGACTGACACAGGTATTATATAATTAAGTTCAGTGTTCACAGTATTACTAAAGAAATATTTATGAATTATATTTATGGTACTTTATTTAAAATATCACATAAGAAATTTTAAATTTCATAAATCTCTTTTTTGGGGGAAAACTCTCTGTACAGAATTTATTATGAAATAGCTTAATGGCAAATGGTAATTAAAAAGAATTACAGTTTTATCATATTACATTAGACATAAATACCAAAATTAGATATGATGTATTCTTGAAGCCCTTTTACACAAATGATTTCCAGAATTTGATTATAATGTAAGTATGAATATACTTTGTTACTATTATCAAATTAATTTTGAAAGTAAAATTCCTTAATCAAGCCAAGGTTATGTTGATTTATAAGAAATTAATCAGGCAGTTTAACACTAGAGCTCATTAGCCAACCCTGTATGTTGCACAAAATAATTATCTCTGATAAATACCTATAAATATAATTTATTCATACTTTCAAATATTTTAAAATTTAAATAAAAATCTCACATGTAGACAATCTGTGATACATTTCCATGTATATTTTGAAAAATAATGTTAGCATGAATATATTCATATTTAAATGTGATTTTAAATATTCTTAAGAGAGAGACATATGAAATCTGTACACAAAAGCTAAGTAGCATGATACAGCTCATGGTTATTTTCCTCACAGGAAAAAAATTACTTGATTTTTTTGCATAGGAATAAGACTGGGTATATTTTCTACATTCTTATATTTTTCTCAGGGGCACTTCTCAAAACACAGATCAGGAAATAAATTTCCACTTTTTTAAAGTTTGCATCACCACTTTCTCACATCTAACAACAGCAGAATTGAGTCCTACTTCTAAGGCCAGAAGAATGATTCAGAAAAATAATAATTATGAAAAATAACAATTAAGAAAAATAATGACATGAGTAGTAAAATAAGGCAATTAAAAGTCAATAGTTTTGCTTTTTAGAAAGGCTTTTAAATATTTAGAATTATAATGAATATATTATATTTTTCTAAAACTTCAAAATGATTCCATTTTTGTATTGCTGAAAAGGAGATGTTGCCATTTGAAACATCAGTTGCATCTTTTATACATTTTAATAAAATTTTGTTTTTTGGTATTTTCAAAGGCCCCATTTATCTATAATAATGATAATTTTATTTATATTATTGGCTACTTAAAGTACATATTGTTGCATGTATATATTAACAATCATCTAATTTTTAGAAATATTTCATTATATTTTGACATTAAAGGGCTAAAGCAGGGTCTTAAAAAAGTGAAATTTAAGGAACAATAAAATATTGAAAATATGCTGTTATTTTCACTAGTCCACTATAATAGTATGCTTGTGTATTTACCCTTAAAGGTTACTGTCACCCAACTGAAATCCTACCAAGAACTAACAAGTGATTACTAAGAGGGGACAAATATAATTAAAATAAAGAAAATGGAGAGCTCAATTAGACAGTATAAGAGAAAAATTCACCAAGAAGACATCAGAGAATCATGAGTGATTTACAAAACTGACAATGCACGAGTAGGAAAAGAGTCGCTGGTGGGAAAGATAGCCTCTACTAAATAAAAGTCCTTTTATTTTTGCCAGCTGGATTCAGCAGTACATCAGTGGGTAAATTTAGAAATGTTTAGGAAGAGGAATGCCTATAATTGTATCTTGTCTGCAACTTTGTATTTTAATAAGGAAAGAGCAAATGGGGGTGGGGAGGCAATGTAGGGCACCCTAACTAAAGTTTGAACAAAATGCAATTTAAATGTGAAATGCCAACACTGAAAAACTTTATGAATAATCTGTATGATTATATGTCTCTAGAGTAGATTTATAATCAACCACTTATCCTAATATCCTTCACGCTTGTAAATTGCTCTTGAGTAAATGGTGGTGCAGACTGGAGGACTTTCTCAGGAAGAGAAAAGGAGATGACCAGCTCTACAGAGATTTTTTTTTTAAAGATTTTGTAGGACTTCAGCAGTTCATTAACACTACTGTGTCCTTTCTGCTTGAGTCTGTCACTGCATAGGGAGGCGTATGGACTGCCATGGGTCTTCTGGCTCATGCCCCAGGCCAGATCCCGGTAAGCAGCTAAGGATTGCCCCACAAACAATAATACATCTATGATCATAACATTTTCATACACCTTTTTGATATTTACAACCCACTCTAAAGAATGCCTTTATACAAAAAAGGAAGGATCTATTAATAGATTGGCATCATGAACCTAAAGGATGGAGATGGAATGGGCGCTGTATTGCCTAGTTAAAATCATGGCCTCTGGAATATGACTACCTGGACCTGAATACTCTGCTACTTATTAACTGTGTGACCTTGATCAAATTACTTAGCTTTTCTATCTTTCAGTTCCTCATATGTAAAATGGGGATAATAACTACCTATCAAGTAAAGTGCTTAGATCCATACCTGGCACATATAATCTCTCAATGAACATCAGTAAAATCCCATACCATAGAGAGCAGTCACTGTCTAACTAAGGTATAATAACATAGATCAGCTGATAAACAACTACTTGTATGTAAACTTGATACTTTCACTCCAACTAGGAATAATTATACAATTCCCAAGATTGGTACAATATTAGAGATGACAGTTTTGGAGGCCAAATATTACTGAGTTCTCTCCCTCATCAATATATTAATATGAAAATGAAACTGTTTTGTAATGTGATAAAAAATAAAATATTTCATGAGGTATGCATTAATCAGTATGTATTTCATGTCTCCAATGTATTTTAAATATAATTTCGCATTTGTCTTTTTGATTTGTGTTTGTTCACATAATCACCTTCATGTAATCACCATCATGTAATTCTTCAAATCCTATCTTATATGAGAGAAATATAGGAATGTTACCATGCACCCTTACCTAGATGCTAATGTGATATGTCCTTTCTTAAAAATAATGTATGATTATGCATTTCTACTTCTTAACTTGGATAATAATTAAAACCTTACTTAAGTTTCAGAAAAAAAATTATATCCATTGAATTATTTTAAAAGCTTAAAATTCTGCTGGTTTGCAAATTTTTTTTAACATTATGCTATATCTATATTACTGACTATAAATATTTTTGCCTGCTTATGAAATATAGTTATTCAATACTGTTATGGTTGTGCAAAATAAAACAAAACATTCCTAAATTTCAACAGTATGTTGACTACAAAAATCATATTGTTAAAACATGACATTTGTGAAAATTAACTTGAAGAATATTTTATCACTAATTCAGCTGAAATTTCATTTAACAAGTTTCAACCCACAGTAATTTGACAGCACATCTGCAACCAAACATAGAGGAAGTCATAAAAATAATGGCATGAGTAGAACTTTATATGGCATCTGTGAGCACCATTTATCATCACATTACTGTGACCCTCTCTGGGGAGAGATTAGGAATTGTTCCTCTAATACCTTCTTCGAGAAATTGGCTCCTTTCCCAGCCTTTTTTAATTCGTTTTAGCTTTCGGCTTATACATGGAAGTAGTAAAATGACCTTACCCAGAATTACAATTGAGGGCAACACAAGAGCAAGAACAAAGTTTGGTGGTGTATAAAATCTGTAGTACTCTTCTTCAAAAGCTCGTTTCCATCCATAAATTAAAACATGGAAAGTAGTTATGAGCAGAGCGACATATCCAAGTGTAGACTTGGGGCAGGGGAGGAAGAAAAAGAAACAAATGATCCAAACTCATTAATTAACCCATTCAGATATACTATATATATATATATATTTTTTTTTTTTACTGAGCACTCATTCATTAGTCACCATGTTTTTATTTTGATAAAACTATTTTGTCTTAAATTATCAAGCTACTCTTTGTCCTCTACTGAATTACACAATTTTTGACATATTCATAGATACATAGATATTTATTTATATACATATCTTATTTTATACAAATAAGGCCATTTGTATACATTTTAGTATTCTGATTACTATATTTATTATACCAAGAAAGACATTTGTATCCCATGTTAACTGCAGCACTAATCACAGTAGCCAAGATATGGATCAACCTAGGTGTCCAACAAGGGATGGACAGAGAAAATGTGGTATATATAGATAATAGAATACTATTCAGCCATAAAAAGAATGAAATCATGTCATTCGAGGCAACATGGATGGAACTGGAGAACATTATGTTAAATGAAATAAGCCAGGAACAGAAAGTTAAACACCACATGTTCTTATTTATATGTGGAAGTTAAAAAAAGTTGATCTCATAGAAGTAAAAAGTAGAATGGAGGATTCTAAAGGCCAGGAAGGGTATGGGGAATGGAGAATCAGGAAAGAGTAGTGAAAGAATACAAAATTATAGCTAGATAAGAGGAATAAGTTCTAGCATTCCATAGCACTATAGGGTGGCTATAGTTAACAATAATATATACTTTAAAATAACTAAAAGGAGGATACTGAATGTTCTCAACACAAAGAAATGATAAACGTTTGAGATGATGGATATGGTAATTACCCTGATCTGATGATTAGACATGTATTGAACATCCCTATGTACCCCATAAATATGTACAATTATTATGTGTCAAATAAAAAAAGAATATTTTCCTCATATCATTAAATATGAAAATGACATTAATTCTTTATAATATTCTGTTGAATAGATGTGCATAATTTATTGAACCACTCCTTTTTATTGAAAATTTACTCTATTTCCAACTTCCCTCAACTACAAATGTCACATTAGGCCCTTTTCAATATTTTGGTTTATTTCCTTAGGACTGACTGCTAATAGGATTATTGGTCAAAACATTTAGCTTTTCTAAGGGTGTTGAAACAGACTGCTAAACTGTTCGTTTTTTTATTTGAATAAATTTAAGGGGTACAAGTGCAGTTTTGTTACATGAATATATTGCACAGTGGTGAAGTCTGGGCTTTTAGTGTAACCATCACCTGAATAGTGTACATTGTACCCATTAAGTAATTTCTCATCCCTTAGCCCCCTCACCCTCCCAAGTCTCCTGTGACTATTTTTCCACACTTACGTCCATTTGTGCACATTATTTAGCTCCCACTTATAAGTGAGAACATGAAGTATTGGACTGTCTATTTTTGAGTTGTTTCACTTAAGATAATGGCTTCCAGTTCCATCTATCCATGTAGCTGCAAGTAAATTCTTCTTTATAAAGGTTATCTATATTCCCACCAGTTATGTATTAAAAACAAAAGTTTGTATATATGTGTGTGTATACACATATACATATAAACATAGTCATCTGCTACATAATGACATTTTGGTCAACATCAGACAGCATTATGCAATGGTGGTTGATAGGATTATAATACCATGTTTTTACTGTACCTTTTCTGTGTTTAGATATGTTTAGATACACAAATATTTACCATTGTGTTACAATTACAGGCCGTATTCAGTACAGTAACATGCTGTACAGGCATGTTAGCAATTAGGCTATGGTTTGCAAGTACACTCTATGATGTTAACATGAAGAAATCACCAAACAATGCATTTCTCAGAACGTATCCCCATTGTTAAGTGAGGCACGACTGGATATACATAAGTACATATATGATAAAATTAAATGCTGAAGAGCATTATCATGGACATATATATAACAATAGTTAATATGTAAATATGAAAAATCCCATAATATTAATATGTAATATAAATAGCAATTCAAACATATGGCTTTACTGACCACATTAAATGGGATTATTAAGAGTACTTCAGTTAGGCAGTTTACAGGTTAAATTCTAAAAGGTCAGCATTCTTTGGTTCCCTTGAGAATTGCTTACTTTGAGAAATGGTCTGTCACATAAAAATAATATTACATCAGTAAAATGATGTAATGTCTAACTTCACTGAGAAAGTATCAACTCTACAGCAGGCAAAATGTTTGCAATTACTTATTTAAACTTATAATGATAATTTGCACCTATCTGGAACTTTTTATCAGAGGGCCTTCTATTTCTTTTTAGATGTGATTAAACTAGCTATTGGGAAAGTATTCACATTCCCTTTTCTTCAAAAAGGGAAAATGAATTTAGACAAGGTTTATGTCCCTTATTTGAGTGAGATTTTCACATGACTTAAACAAACAAACAAAAAACCTCAAGCAAATAGGCAAAGAAATGAAACAAAACTTAGTATATGACCAAAGTAGTACTAATCTATACAAAGATGCACTAATCTGTATATTGTGCTATAAACCAATTGGATACAACCAATACAGATTTTGTGAAAATACACATAGAGTCTAAGTTTAAGTTGAATATTTTTAAAATATGCAAACTTACTATTTAGTTATTATTGGAGAAAATGAATGTTTAACTTATTAAACTTGCTTTGAAATCCCTTTATACTTATATACATTAGTATAAGACAGATATAATAAATACATATTCTAATAAGATTCATGAGGCTTGTTGCTTGTCATAATCCATTAACCTAGTTACCTAGTTTGCCAGTACTTGTGTTTGTGTGTGTGTATACACACACATTTCTTTAAAATATTCAGACTGACCTCTCCACTCGAATTCAAATTAATTAGATTTTTCTGGCCAGATCAAGATGACTCAAAACATAAAATAATTTTTCATTCATTTGGCTAACAATAAATTGACTTTTGACATTAAATTTGATCTAAGCTCACTCCTCTCCCACTTTCATTTTTTTTCTTTTAAAAATAATCTTCATCCTTAACACAGTAGTCAGTGTTATCAAAGCCTTTCAGTATAATCATGTACTGGTCTTTCACTTACTACCAGAGTAGTCTTAATCTGGCCTCCAACAATGGCTTCCTAGATGCATAAAATACAGCCCCCAAAGACACTCTTTTTGTAAGGAGCATATTTAAGATTCAACTGTACTTAACAATGAAGTTCTATGCTGCCCAATTCCTCACCAAAGAAAACCCGCCATACCTGAATAAAACTGAATTCTCTCCAGTTTAATGCATTGTTCACTGAAGGGATGGAAGTGACTGCCAGGAGGGACAGTAAGCCAAGGCTCATTATGCCAAAGGAGATATACATTTCAATTCTCCAAACTTCTTCCTCATTCCAAGAGTTTTCGATATTTTCATGAATCTAACAAGAAAGCAAATGTGAATTTCCTTTATTTGGTAGAACACGAACTGATTCAGCAGAGATCACTCTTGGCATAAGAGATCACTCTTGGCATAAGACGACCTAGGTCGTATATGGACATATTTGCATTAATAAGTTGCATTAATTCAATTTAACTAGCCATTATGGAGAACTTATTACTGGATGGTACTGTTCCAGGTATAAGGGAAAACGAAGGGAGAGTTAAACAAAAAGAAGACTAAGACTTTCTCCTTCCTTGCACATGTGTGAGCATAGAGGGGGAAACCTATGCCATCACGATGGTAATGCATCATCATTGCAGGGGCTCTGGAGTCCCAGATCATGAAATGCTGAGTGGGGGGGATCCAGAGTGACACAAAAGAAGTTATTGGCAGTTAGACTTAGTTTTAAGGTACTTTTACAAGCTGGTTTAAACTTGGTTGGATATTTGGGGTACATTCTGGCCTTACTTCAACTTAGATCCAGGCAGGGAATTTCTAAATTACTTCTGTATCTTTCTCCCTCACATGAATAATATATGTGTTGATTTATCTCTTTCTTCTCATTTTCTCTTCCTAGAAAGCTGTGATTTCCCTGACTATAAAGCCCTATGGAACTCAAATATTTAGCCACTTCAACTGCCTCATTAATATACTTTTCCAACTGTCCAATAGCCTCATTCACAAATAGCATTTTTCTAAATATCTTTTCCTTACATTGATAATGCGTATAATATAATTAAGTCAGACAATTAACCCTGAATTTATGGTATTTTACACACAAACAATATTAGAGTATAAATCAAGGGTTAGACTCTTTCAGCCTAGTTTTGTTGGTTTTATTTTGTTGAGTTTTTGTTGTTTTTAGAGGCAGGGTCTTGCTATGTTGTCTAGGCTGGTCTTGAACTCCTGGGCTCAAGTGATTCTCCTGCCTCAGCCACTTGAGTAGCTAAGACTGCAGGTGCACACCACCACACCTGGCTAATTTTTATAAAAAATTTTTTTTGTAGAGACAGGATCTCACTATGTTGCTCAGGCTGGTCTCAAACTCCAGCCCTCAACTGATCCTCCCACCTCGGCCTCCCAAAGTGCTGGGATTACAGTCGTGTGCCACCATGCCCTGACCTACTATATATATTTACTGAAAGTTGCCTCATCATCTTTTGGAGCATGGTCAATTATAAAACATTAAGATAATTAATTCTTCAATGCTGAAAGCAATCATTGCAATTGTAACATTAAAAAGGGGGGGGGGGCAAACTCCACCCCTCTACTTCTCTGCTTTTATTCTGCAAAAGAAGGGATGTTAGCAGTTTTTACCCTAAATAATTTTGAATCATCCACACAATTCTTATGCAAAAGCATTGTTTAAAGAACAATACTTCCCCTTCCCTAAAACACCAAAAGTAAATTTCTATTATGAGGTATGTAAAATTTTATGTTTTACAATTTATACCAATAAAATATTTTACTAGAGTCAGATAAATAACAAGCATGCGTTCAGTACCTGCTTATAAGCCATGTTGAGAAACAAGTATCTCTCTGACCTCCTCATTGGTAAGCAGAGGCTGTAGGCAACATGGACCACAGCGAAGAAGAAACTTAATAATCCGAGCTGTTTTCTACACTGTAACCATGTCTCCAACCAAGGTGGAAATCTCCTATACTTGGTGCCATAATAAAGCTGATAAGCAGCTGCCAGGAGACCTGCTAGGTACACCAAGGACAGCAAAGTAATAGCAACTATAGGCAAGGTTTTGTTCACAATTTCAATAGGAATCTTGTAAAAGTCACTCTGCTGGTTTCTTGCATAGGGATGTATCACATCCCTGACAAAGGAATAAAGGAAGAAAAATGTGGCCAAGCTTATGGCTACTACTACTGGCCCTCTCCAGAGAGTAAATAATCGTAGGGGCAAATTTTCAATATCTCTGGCTGATGATAAGGATCCCAAGTCAATGGGAATGAAATTCAACTGACGAGCAAGTTCAATAACCTGTTGTCGTGCTTGAATATTGTTGCTGCATATGTAAACCTGTGGAAAAAAGAAAAAGATTCATCATTACTACTATTGTTTATAAAAATGGTATAACAATCGCATGATCCACTTAATCTATGGAGCATCGCTTGTGATGGCCTTGAGTGATGCAGATGACTAGAGTTAAGGAGATAAAGCATTTATTAATTTATTAACCTATTATTAATAGATTTTTAAATAGTGTCATAAAAACAAAAAGTCCTTGCCACCTGTGATAACATGAACGTAAAATGCAGGAAAATCTAGCTTCAACTTGGGATTCTCAGAGTGGAGTCCTCAGGGAAAGGCAGGCAGGTAGAAAGAAAGGTGGCCACGTGCTTCAGTAGCAGCAGCCAGGTAAGGTCGCCCCTCAGGGGTCCAAGTGGAGTTTGAGCTGCTGGCCATGCCCCTGCCTCCTTTCAGCTCTCTCATTCCCATAGAGGGCAGGATGGGACTGGCTCTCCCTGTCTTCATGGACAAATATTGTCCAAAATATGGACAATATTTAATCCTAATATATAGGATTAGTGATTCTGCCCACTAGTGTGATTGCAAGCACTGCTATTTACAGTTATTCAGCAAGAGTAAGGATGGGCATGGACTCTGGATGGTGGCATTTGCAATTCAAAACCTCTAAAGTATGTCATGATGCTATATTATTCATAAAAATCTTTAGGCTTAGAAACTAATATACTAAGTATCTCTGAAAAACCATGGATAATATGAGGTATATTATTTCATTGGTCAAGATATGAAATCCTTTCATTTTTAAATGATCATATATCTGGTAAGTAATTATAAAGCTTATAAATTAATTTAAATAGAAAAGCTACTGACATTTTCTAAGACTAAGAACTCTAATGATGTGATGAGTGTAGGTTAAGGTGATCTTGCAAACTACCAAAACCATACAGTTGAAAATTCAACAAGTATTTATTGAGCACCAAGTTTATTGCTAGAGTGAGCTATTATTATTAACAGGTAGGTCATCTCATTTAGGGCTGGAAAAATATTGCTATAAAGTCTCCAAGCAATGTTTGGGGAAAACAAGTTCCGAAATATATCCCTGAAGATGTTTGTATAAAGGCTCTGAAATATACCACATTGAAATATTTGCATGCTAAAAATATTTACATAATGGTGACAGTAGAGAGCTCTTTAGATTATCAATCTTAGGTAACATAAGCCAGATGAATGACAAATCTCATACAATTATATGAACATTCATGAACTTCTAAAATAGGATTTCTTTTATACCAAAGAAACAAGGAAAAGCATTCTAAATTAATTTATTACAGTTGTGACAATGGTGGCGTAAACTCTTTTTGTACTCCTTTGGAAAAAATTTCTGTTACATTATAAATATTTCTAGCAAACCTAAAAGCGTAGATCAAACATTCGAAATCATGGCACAAGCACTCTGAAACACAAATTAAACTATTTCTGTACCTCATTTTGAATTTAATCACTGTTCTAAAATTTTTTTCTGTTAAAAAATTAAAATTGTCACAAATGTGGGTAAAGGATTAAATTCTAGTTTGTCTCATAGGCCCTGGCTCTAATTTGCTTTGGTCTATATCCATTGCTAAACTTTGGTGGATATGCCCAAAAAAAAAAAAAAAAAAAAAAAATTTCAGAAATAGCCTGTAGGAAAGTATATATTCTTTTACTAGTCTTCAAATTAAAGATTTAAAAGTGAATGGTTATCATGACTCTGATATCCAGTATACAATACTTAAATTTATTTTCTAAGGAATCTAATCAACTGTCTTTCTTTTTTTTTTTAGAGACAGGGTCTTGCTCTGTCACCCAGGTTGGAGTGTAGAGGTACAATCACAGCTCATTGTAGCTTCAAACTCCTGGGCTCATGCGATCCTCCTGCCTCAGCCTCCTAAGTCGCTGGGACTACAGGTACATGCCACCACAAATGGCTAACTTCTTTGTTTTTAACTTTAGAGACAGGGTCTTGCTAAGTTGCCTAGATGATCTTAAACTCCTGGCCTCAAGTGATCCTCCTGCCTCAGCCTCCCAAAGTGCTGGGATTACAGGCATGAGCCATTGCACTCATCCTAGTCAACTGTGGTTATCAATGAAAATAACAAAAGTATTTTATCTTCATGCTTAATCATAATGCAGAAGCACACCTTTAAAAGATTTTTCAGGTGTACACTATTTTATGTGTTTACTAATAAAAGCTCTCATTCCACAAAGGCATGGACAAAGCTCCCCATCTGCTTTCTTTTCCAATTTAACTAGATAAAACATTGCCCATAAAGTCATATGCCAAAGGAGAACCTAAGAAATCAAGTCTGCCCGCTGCTTTCTGCACAGAGATTAAAGTCTACACTTAAAATAAAACAAACTGTATGGTTTTAAATTCTATGAGTATTTAGTCTGTGTCAAGTAAAAAAGGTACTTCTAAAGCATGCTTCTTGAGGATCACATTAAACAGTATTTCATTCGGAGACGGAAGACTGCATTACCAAATAGCTTCAAGGAAGGAAACAAGGAAAGAAGGAAGGGAAAGAGGGAAAATAAATGACCTGTTCATTATTGTTTCTTTTTGTGAGGAGAGACTCAACGCAATGTGTCACATTATTCATTAGCCAACTTTGCCTTTTCTTTAATTAACTGGTTATGACAGAAAAGTCCAGGTTATTTCTCCAGCTTTCCTCATCATTTTGGGAATAGAAGTGTACCCTCGCAAGGTCACAACATGAATCTTCAAGTGCTCATACACAGTTTTCAAAATGATAATCACTGGAAAATGTCAGAATTAGGTTTTTAACTATCTGATATTTGCTTAGCTGTTTAACTACAAAATACCAGATAAGTAAGAATAAAATTTTAAAACACATACCTGCCGACTGGCATCCTTAGGTCCTAATTGAAGTGCCCAAGCTGAGATAACATTAAATCCTTTGACAACCAAGGAATCTGGGAATAATGAAGCCAAATATTCAGCATTGGATTCTGGGTATTGGTTTATCTTCATGTTGTTGCTCACATCAATCAGGATTTTACCCACTAGCAGATGTCTCAGGTCCCACAGGGAGGTGTAATGTTCTCTATGTATAGCAATAAATATTATATTCGTTTTTGTTAGAGCATCTTCATGATGGGTGACGTCTACCACATGAGGAAAAAATTCAGAAGCAAATTTAGGGTTTCTACTTCCTATGACTACATGATAGCCACATCTAATAAGTCGAATGGTTAAGGATTTTGCAAAATCCCCACTTCCAATTACACCTACAGTGACCTTCCTTGCATCTTTGATACCATTTATGCCATTGGGCAAAAAAGTTTCACTAAGGCTCTTAGGGCTTCCCATCATAGAGATTGATTCCATGATACGGACTCTTCCAAGATCACCAGGAATATCCTAGGAGAGAGAAAATAAAATACTCATTAAGTACCTATTATCAAATATTAAAATACTTCTAGACAGCGTAATAATATCTTCCATTTCTAAAGGTTAAATATCTTGGCATACTATATAACACAGAACACAGCAAGATTCAATTTGTAAGCTAAGAAAGTATCTCTATTCCGGTTTCTCTTCAGATTGTATAAATCTTCCACCTTCTAAAAAAGCATCTCTCAATAGGAAAATTAACTGTCACAAAGGTGATGAGCTAAAGTGGGGCTTCTCAAATTTTAATGTGCACACAAGTCACCTGGGAATCTTGTTAATATGAAGATTCTGATTAAGTAGGTCTAGGGGGAGGCCCAAGCTTCTGCGTTTCTAACAAAGGTAATGCCAGTGCTGCTGATCTGCAGACCCCTCTTTGAGTAGCAAGGCACTAGAGCACAAAAGGAAAGAGGCTGAAGTTTTCACCCAGAACTTTTTTTAAAAACACACTTTTAATAAGTGTGATTACCCAGCTTTTCACCAGGTCAGAAGCAGCCAATCAGAAATGCTGCTAGAGGCAAAGTGGACCATGATACAAAGTGATAGCTCACAAATCAACAGAAGACAGAAAAACCATTAAAAAAAAAAAGCCATTTAAACCAAAATTGTCTAGATGAGTTATTTGGGGTGGAGGCTATAAACTGTCCAAGACACCTTAGTAACTAGTGACTTTATCATTAAATGAAAGTAAGATAAATCAGCTAATAAAAAATGAACCTTTGGCTCACGCCTGTAATCCTAGCTCTCTGGGAGGCTGAGGCCGGTGGATTGCTCAAGGTCAGGAGTTCGAAACCAGCTTGAGCAAGAGCGAGACCCCCGTCTCTATTATAAATAGAAATTAATTGGCCAACTAATATATATATATAGAAAAAATTAGCCGGGCATGGTGGCGCATGCCTGTAGTCCCAGCTACTCGGGAGGCTGAGGCAGGAGGATCGCTTGAGCCCAGGAGTTTGAGGTTGCTGTGAGCTAGACTGATGCCACGGCACTCACTCTAGCCTGGGCAACAGAGTGAGACTCTGTCTCAAAAAAAAAAAAAAAAAAATGAACCTTGAATGACACTTAATATTTTAAGAAAAAGAGGCATCAAAAAATAACAAAGGTTGAACACCATATTTTAGGCTAAGAAAAAAAAAAGTAAATAAAAATATAAGAAAAAGAATTATTTAAAAAAAAAAACAAAAAAATAAAAATAAAAAAAATAAAAAAAAAATAACAAAGGACTAATGAAATACCACAGACTTCTACCATTCTCCCTACATCTTATAACTTATTGAGAAAGATAGCTTCCTTATGGAAAATGGGTTAGTAATGTGTTTATGGTCTTAAATTACACAATACTCATGAAATCCTTTTCTTCCCTTTTTATTCATTGGCTGCATGGGCTCTGATGCAGTTACCCTTCCTGGAAAAATTTGTCAAGTTATTTTTTATTCAAGAGACTGTCTGAAATGTTCATGTTTATAATAACTTGCTCGAGAATACAAATAAGATTGCCATGAATGAATGTCTGAATGAAAAATACTCTTGCATTCTATCCTAATTGCATTTCTTTTATGCTAATAATAGCAGATGTGAATCACTTCAGAAGATTTAATGGATTTTCCAGGCACAGGTGGACTGTTTCAAAAAACATTTTGGGGAGGTTTTACTAAATGAAATTTGAAGTTACTAGAACCAGAAAAATTAAACTTTTTACCCTAGAAGTGGGACACACTCAATGACTCTAAATACATTAGTAAATTAAGTAATATTAACTAATACTTAAATAGCACATATTATGTTTCAGCTATCTTGTGCTTTACATATACTAACCCCACAACCACCCTATGAGATAGGTGCTAATGTTGTCATGCTATTTTATAGATGAGGAAACAGACATGCAGAAGATAATTAATCTGTCCAAAGTCATAAGACAGAAGGCGGGAGAGCCAGGATTAGAACTCTGGCAAGTACCATTTAGGTGCATGTAAGGAATTTAAGAAAGGAGTTTTTTGGGAGGGAGGAGTTACGAGGGTCAAGGTGGAAGAATTATGGTTGTGCTCAAATTGGTAGATTACTCCTTTTTCTTTAGTCGTTTCATTGCTCCTCAGTTTTATCTAGTGATCTTAATGTCTAAACTAGATCCTAGGAAAGGAGAAAACTCATTATTATAAAATCTATTACATGTTTCATTTCACACCTTTCAAGATAGAAGCGGTGGTAACTATCTGCTTACCCTTGAAGTGTGCTCATGTACCTGGAAGGGCAGGTAGGGGTCAGAGGCACTACGCTAGTACAAAACTGTCAACATCCTCTTGGAGATGTGGTTGGCTATGTTGGGAATCAGGAGCAGTTAAAGGAACCAGAAATAATAAAATCAATGCTCATTTCATTAAAAAATTAAGAGTGAACCTAATCATATGCATTATCTAAGGCTAGAAAAGGTTACTAGATTCACACACAGAAACCCAACTTTCCTGTATTCCAGTCCTGAGTTCTGAGTATATACTGTACCATCTCCCAAAGTATATATAAAAATTGCAAAATCTTTAAATCTAACCATCATGATGATTAAGACCTTTTTGAACTAAAAACAAAAAACAGTATCAATTTTCTGCTTATTTTACAAAGCAAGTTCAAACCCCTTCTGTAAACCATAATGTGAACAAGACCTAATAATTACATATAGGCCCCTCATTATATCATCTTATACATATTAATGGATGACTCTGGTCTAACATGTTTGGGCTTTAATTTCATAGTATTTATAATGGCAAGCTCTAACTGAATCCTTTAGTAGTGTGGCTGTGGCCATGAATAGAAGTTGGCCTAATAGATGAGACTCTTTTCACTACATTTCTAACGAATGTAAAAGCATCTATGAGAGAGAGAGAAAAAAAAAAAAGATCTAAGAGATGGATTACTTGCTTATTGCTGAAGGCATATAATACCATATGCTTGTGTGCCATTTCATAGTTCATAGAATGCTTTCATACATAATATTATTCTTGTTTAATTCTCAAATGGCTGTGGAGTATATATTATGCCCATCTTAAAGATGAGGAAACAGGCTCAGAGAACTTTAGTGGTTTGCCTGCCTGACACAGCAGTTTGTAATGACACAACCAGGACTCAAATACAAGTCTTCTAATCTATACTAATTCTGAAACTGCAATGCAAACATTATGTGGGGAATCTTAACTCAAAACTGCTTAGCATCTCCAAATGTCATCTATAACTATGCTTTCTAAAAACAATACTAACTTTAAATAGCTAAAATATAAATCTCAGTTTAGGATAGTTTTAGATAAATCCAAAACTATAATGCTTAGGAATTCTAACCATAAAATGATAAAATATGATTGAAATAATTCCCATTTTTGGACAAAAACCAACAAAGATCTAAATTTATTAATACTATAAAACTAACATAATTGGTTGCTGCATAATTCTTGAACAATCCCGGATAGCAAACCATACTGTTTTCTGGAGACTCTGTAGACACCACAAGGGTATGCACTGCTTGTAGAGGGGAGGAAAGAAGAAAGGGTCAGGAAGTGTGTCATTATCCTGTTGGACTCACCGACACCCACACCTAAGAGCAACCCATCTCCCACAAGCTATGAGTAACTATCTGGTACTGAGACACTGGAGCAAAATCTCATCAACTTATAATTTGTTAATCTATTATTTTAGATCATTTGGTTAACAGCTGAGCTGAAGTTAACACTTGTGACATCCATGAAAAACAGAGTTATAAAAAAAATGAATAATGTCACCATCTGAAGGAGGTTCAGCTATTTACAAAAAAGAATACTAAAAACCTTACATTGTACATTTCCATTGGCAAGGAATGATGCAAGTATAATCTAAAGACAGATCTGCCCTTCTGTGGCCTAACATGAATTTGCACAGGCCACTGTGTGCTTTATCTCTTATGACAAAGGGCAAGAGAAGGCATGATGCTTATACTCAAGGAATTTTGTCTCTGTCTCTTCTAGTAAGGAAGAAAGAGGATGTACTTACAATACAGAGTAGGAAAAAAACTCACATCAGCATACAATTAAAAACTAGACTTTATGATCAGAGCGTAGTCTAGAAACAGAGAAGAAAATGTCACATAGTGCTTATTCCTTTATATCCAGTCATTCATTATTTTAATGATTACAAAAGTAATAAAATTATATTTACATAATAGTCTCTAATTCACACAAAATTTCCTCAAATCAGTTTGTTGACAGTGTACAAATTCATTCTAGTTTAAAACTAGAAGGCTCCCAAATTATACTTGGTTTTCTTTTACCTTGCCTTAAAAGTGCTTGGGTCACAGTTCCCAAATAGCAATTAAAAATATATGGACAGAGTAGGGAGTTTTTCAGAAAATTATTTAACTTAAAGAATTGTCTTTTACTCTGACAGCATGTCTTTCCTAATTCTGGGGGTCAAAATGTCCTTTTTTCATAAAATGATAGTATAACAGTTGTTTGAGTTGGCAATTCTATACAGATCTTTTCTCTTATTTTACTGGTATTTAAAATGTACAAGTCTGAGAACTACTGCTTTCATAGATATTAGGAAGCTCTCTATGTGAAAGAGTTCCTTCAGCCTGCTGCAGAGAAAACCTTTCAGGAGAGGGGAGGAAGGCACCTTGGAGCCAGCCTCCTGTACCTTGAGACATTTGCTTAATACTCAGGGAGTAGGGGTATATTCTGGAGATAAAATGTCATATATCCCAGTTGAATTTTCTGTAACTAGATGACAATTTTTACTATTACAACCTTTGGCTTACACTAAGATAATCCCCAAATTCTCTTGGTATTTAAATAAACAAACTAAATTCAACTATTTGTTTATACTTATGACAATAAAGAGTTTCTTTGGAGGAAAAAGCAGGGATTCTCTTTTGCTTTGCTTTTAGGTTTCTTATTTTTTAGAAGAAGTTCTTAAGTCCTTTAGAAAACTCCAAAAGCAAGCTGCAATTCTGCTTGCAAATAAGAATATGATTTCTAACATGGAGGTTATCCCAGTGAGGTCCTGAATAAGCAGCATCAGCATCACCTGGGAACTTGTCAGAAATGTAAATTCTCAGGCCTTACCTCAGACCTCCTCAATCAGAGGTGAAGCCCAGCAATCTGTGTTTTAACAAGCCCTACATATGATTCTGATGTATGCTCAACAAAAAGCTTTCTAGTTAAATCTAGGTTAGTCCAGAAATTTACTTAAATAATTTTTTTCCCAAGGACTTCAGTTAATAAAATTCTAGGATATTCTCTAAAAAGTTAAAACAAAAACATTCCCCCAGTGCTTCCTCACCCATTTTTCTTCTGTGTATGGGGCAGAGAAGAATGCTGTACACATCCCTCTGCCTACCTTACAAGTGTAGCATGCTATCTCAAGAACAACCATGTCCATACCCAGGCTTTTATAACACTGTAAATTAACATGACCAGGAGGTATATCTAAAATGAAGCTGGGCATAGTATGTTATAACATAGCTGAAATAATCTCCCCTTCTGATAACCTTGTTGCAGATGGTACTTTGAGATAAGAATAGCTATGTTTATTGGCTAGCAAATAGAAAATTTTCTGTGTTGCAGTAATTTACTTGTAAAATAAACAGTCTGCTGTCAAAGACCTGGCTGGCACTCTAGCTTCTATACAAATCCATTTCCCTAATTTCAATGCCTTAACAGATAACAGAATACACATGTCTATGGTTACAAAGGCACCAATGCCCACCACTGAGTGCTATCAACTTTAGGGATCTCTGCTGATTGACATCAGTTTAGGAATCAGTCCACAACCAAAGATAGTGATGATACTCATCCACCCATCCACTCATCAATCCCCACCCATTTACCTATCCAACATCTTACTGAGCCCTAACCACCAGGCACTGGCTGGGTGCTGATGACCCAATGACACAAAACAGACACTGGATTCCTGGCTATCTAATTAATATGATGAATTATGAATGTTGAAGCATACACAGCCACTTAAAAAAACCTTATTGAGGTATAACTTACACATAATAAAATTCACTCATTTTAAGTATGCAAATTAATGACTTTTAGTAAATTTACAGAGTCATACAACTACCACCATAATCCAACTTTAGAACATTTTCATCAAATTTTAGAAAAACCGGCCAAGGGTAAACTCCTTTAAAAAATCCTCCTTTAGGCCGGGCGCGGTGGCTCACGCCTGTAATCCTAGCTCTCTGGGAGGCCGAGACGGGCGGATTGCTCAAGGTCAGGAGTTCGAAACCAGCCTGAGCAAGAGCGAGACCTCGTCTCTACCAAAAATAGAAAGAAATTAATTGACCAACTAAAAATATATATACAAAAAATTAGCTGGGCATGGTGGTGCATGCCTGTAGTCCCAGCTACTCGGGAGGCTGAGGCAGGAGGATCACTTGAGCCCAGGAGTTTGAGGTTGCTGTGAGCTAGGCTGACGCCACGGCACTCACTCTAGCCTGGGCAACAAAGCAAGACTCTGTCTCAAAAAAAAAAAAAAAAAAAAAAAATCCTCCTTTGACTGGAAGTCCTAGCCAGAGCAGTCAGGTAAGCGAAAGAAAGAAAGGGCATCCAAATTAGAAAAGAGGAAGTCAAATTATCTTTGTTTTCAATGATATGATCTTATACACAGAAAACCCTAAAGACTCCTAGAATTGATAAATTCAATAAAATCTCATGTTACAAAATTAATGTACACAAATCAGTAGCATTTCTGTACACTAGTAATAGCCAACCTGAGAATCAAATCAAGAACTTGATATCACTTATGACAGCTACAAACAAAACCAAACAAATCAAACCTAGGAATGCACTTAACCAAGGAGGTGAAAGATCTCTACAAGAAGAACTACAAAACACTGGTCAAAGAAATTGTCAATGACACAAACAAATGGAAAAACAACCCATGCTCATGGATTAGAAGAATCAATATTGTTAAAATGTCAGTACTGCTTAATATTATATACAGATTCAATGGAATTCTCATAAAAATGCCAAATGTCATTTTTCACAGAATTATAAAAAACAATCCTAAATTTCTTTTGAAATAAAAAAAAGAGCCCAAATATCCAAAGCAATCCTAACCAAAATGAACAAATCTGGAGGTATCACATTACCCAACTTCAAATTATACTATAAGGCTACAGTAACCAAAATAGCATAGTACTGACACAAAAGTAGACAAATGCATTCATGGAACAGAACAGAGAACCCAGAAATAAAACTGTACACCTACAACTAACTGATCTTTAGCAAAGCAGACAAAAACATACACTGAGGAAAAGATGCCCTATTCCATAAATGCTGCTAGGAAAATGGAGTGCCACATGTGGAAGACTGAAACTGGATCCCTATCGCTTACCATATACAAAAATTAACTCAAGATGGATTAAATACTTAAATGTAAGACCCAACACTATAAACACTCTAGAAGAAAACTTAGAAAAAACTCTTCTGGATATTGGCCTAGGCAAAGAATTTATGACTAAGACCCCCTAAAGCAAACAGAACAAATATAAAAATAAATAAATGAGACTTAATTAAACTAAAAAGCTTCTGTACAGCAAAGGAAACAATCAACAGAGTAAACAAACAACCTACAGAAGGGGGAAAAGGGCCGGGCGCGGTGGCTCACACCTATAATCCTAGCACTCTGAGAGGCTGAGGCGGGCGGATTGCTTGAGGTCAGGAGTTTGAAACCAGCCTGAGCAAGAGCGAGACCCCATCTCTACTATAAATAGAAAGAAATTAATTGGCCAACTAAAAATATATAGAAAAAATTAGCCAGGCATGGTGGGACATGCCTGTAGTCCCAGCTACTCAGGAGGCTGAGGCAGAAGGATTGCTTGAGCCCAGGAGTTTGAGGTTGCTGTGAGCTAGGCTGACGCCATGGCATTCTAGCCCAGGCAACAGAATGAGACTCTGTCTCAAAAAAAAAAAAAAAAAGAAGGGGGAAAAGATTCATAAACCATACACCCAACAAAGAATTCATACCCAGAATCTACAAGGAACTCAAACAAATTAGCAAGAAAAAACCAAATAACCCCATTAAAAAGTGGACAAAAGACATGAACAGACATTTTTCAAAAGAAGATATACAAATGGCTTACAAACATATGAAAAAATGTTCAATATCACTAATCATCAGGGAAACACAAATTAAAACCACAATGAGATACCATCTTACCCCTGTCAGAATGGCCATTAAAAAGTAAAAAAAAACCCAATAGATATTGGCATGACTGCAGTGCAAAGGATATGCTTATACACTGTTGGTGGGAATGTCAATTAGTACAACCTCTATGAAAAACAGCATGGAGATACCTCAAGGAACTG